GGGTTTCACCATGTTGACCAGGATGGTCTCGATCTCTTGACCTGGTGATCCACCCGCCTCGGCCTCCCAAAGTGCTGGGATTACAGGCTTGAGCCACCGCGCCCGGCCCTCAAAATATTTTTATTAAGAATTTAGGACTATTACAATACGATTACACCAGCAGCGTGATTGAATGTTGCATCTAAACTCTAACGTAATTTTAAAGAAATGCCAGGCTGGGCATGGTGGCTCATGCCTGTGATCCCAGCACTTTGAGAGGCTGAGGTGGGAGGATTGCTTGAGTCCAGGAGTTCAAGACCAGCCTGGGCAATATAGTGAGACCTCCTCTCTACGAATATAAATAAATAAATAAAATGAGACCTCGTCTCTATAAATACAAATAAGAAAGAGAGACAGACAGACAGACAAGATAGAGGGAGGGAGGGGAGGAAGAGAGAGAGAGAGAAAGAAGTTTTTTTAAAAAAGGAAATGCCCACTTTGGGAGGCCGAGGTGGGTGGATCACCTGAGGTCAGGAGCTCGAGTAGCCCAGCCAACATGGTGAAACGTCATCTCTACTAAAAATATAAAAATTAGCTGGGCGTGGTGGCGTGCGCCTGTGATCTCAGCTACTCAGGCGGCTGAGGCAGGAGAATTGCTTGAACCCAGGAGGCAGATGCTGTAGTGAGCCGAGGTTGTGCCATTGCACTCCAGCCTGGGTGACGAGAGCAAAACTTCGTCTCCAAAACAAAAACAAAAACAAAGACAAAGAAATGCCATCTGGTAATGTGTGCAATCTAACGAGATATTAGACATGAATGCAAAGATAAAACTTACCCATAATTAGTGATTTCATATAAATAAGCATTGCTTAAGTTTATTTGTTCTCAAAATTAAGAACCCCAAGAGACAGCTTATTTATCAAATCATCTACTCCTAGGTAATAGAAACTTCAGCCTAGCTTTTTAAAAGAATCACAACAACCACCAATTTCAAAGTAAGTGGATCGGTTGCTGCCTTATTTGAAAAATTCCAGTGAGCCGTGTTCAGTCGAGGCTGGGTGTTGCAGGAAAAGGTGTTGATGTGAGCATGTGGGTACGCTGCTCCAGAGCTGAACCTGCAAGCCAGGCTGTGAGTGTTGGTTTATGATGGCAGATTCATCACTCTACACTTGTAGAAACGACTGTGTGTGCACATATTTGCATACTTGTGTGTGTGTGTGTGTGTGTGCGTGTATCTGTGCACGCCTGTGTCTTGGGGGAAAGAGGATTGGATAATATGTACATCTGTGTGTGTGTATGTGTGTGTGTATGCCTGTGCACGCCTGTGTCTTTGGAAAGAGGATTGGAGAATATGTACATCTGTGTGTGTGTGTGTGTGTGTGTGTGTGCCTGTGCACGCCTGTGTCTTGGGAAAGAGGATTGGAGAATATGTACATCTGTGTGTGTGTGTGTGTGTGTGTGCATGTGTGTGCCTGTGCACACCTGTGTCTTGGGGGAAAGAGGATTGGAGAATATGTACATCTGTGTGTGTGTGTGCGTGTGCATGTGTGTGCCTGTGCACACCTGTGTCTTGGGGGAAAGAGGATTGGAGAATATGTACATCTCTGTGTGTGTGTGTGTGTGTGTGTGTATGTGTGTGTTTGCCTGTGCACACCTGTGTCTTGGGGGAAAGAGGATTGGAGAATATGTACATCTGTGTGTGTGTGTGTGTGTGTGTGTGTGTGCGCCTGTGCACGCCTGTGTCTTGGGGGAAAGAGGATTGGAAAGTGAAGACATCAGTACGTGATTTGAATTTCAGGAGGAAGGGGAAGAACCTCAGATGCTGGCTGGAAACTCGGCAGCTGGCCTAATAGGAACTCTTCACCGAGGGAAGCCTTCAGCCAAGATAATAAGAGGGACAATCGGGGATCTTTTGTTAAAGTTCAGCTGTCCCATGGAGCAGAAAGAATGCCAGGGCAGTGAGACAAAAGACACGCTTCTTAATCCCGACTGTCATTCATAAACCATCTTTTGTCCGTTCAGAGCGATTTTAGTACTTGGCTCTGTGGACCAAGGGTAGAAAAGAACAAGAAGGAATTTTTATCAAGTTACACTTTCAATGAACTGAGCTGTCTATGAAAGACTTCAAACTAACTTCATTGAACACTGGATTTTTTTTTCTTTCTTTTTCCCTTTTTTCTTTTTTTTTCACTTGATTTTTTAAAGCAAGGATTGTTTTAAGTTAGATACACCAAGTAAGTAAGCGATTTTACTGAGCAGCTCCAGAAAACATTTTTAAAATTGATGATTTGTTAACTAAGTTCAAACCAGGGGAAGAAGAAAATAAAATGGGAGGCTTAATAAGTTTTTATTTATTTTTTATTTTATTTTTGATATGGAGTCTCACTCTGTCACCCAGGCTGGAGTACAGTGGCTCAATCTCAGCTCAGTGCCACCTCCACCTCCTGGGTTCAAGGAATTTTCCTGCCTCAGCCTCCTGAGTAGCTGAGACTATGGGAGTATGCCGCACCATGCCTGGCTAATTTTTTTTTTTTTGGTATTTTTAGTAGGGATGGGGTTTCACCATGTTGACCAGGTTGGTGTCGAACTCCTCACCTAGGCCTCCCAAAGTGCTGGGATGAGAGGCATGAGCCACCACGCCTGACCAGTGAGTTTTTAAAAAAGGACTACTTGTCTGGCAAAGGGATGTTTCCCATTGAGCTCAATAAATACATTAAACGTTTGCCTACACCACAACTCATACATTCTTGTGGGAGCCAATCACCCACCCTCACTTCCACCCCTACTCCAGCAAAAGGCCACAAGGAGAGGCAAACCATTTGCATGCATGGAGGTATTCAGTTATTGCTATCTGGTAATTCCCCTTCCACAGCTTCAGATAAAAAGTAAATGTTTAGGTAGCTCATCCAAAGCCATCTCTACTAGATCAGGACTCTACAATCAAAGAGCAGGCTCATAGAACAAGTGAACTTACTTCAGAGGTTTCCTCACTCAAGGCATCAAAAACGCTATGATGAAATATTTAAAAGCTGTGCCTCTGGCTGGGCTGTCTAAGCAGTGGGGAGAATAAGGTATCTCAAGGCAAGGAATGGATTGCTAGTGTGAGTGCTGCCCAGAGACAAACACCATCTGCTCTTTAATTACAGAAAGAAGTCTCTAAGCATCTCCCTCCCCTCACTCCTGGGATGTGTGTGCTTATTTATTTTGCAACTGTATTGAGTCACGGAATTTCCAGAACCACTGGAGTCCAGGGAAGAAGCCCATGGTCAATGAGTCACATTTTTAATGCATGAAGAGGTTGTTCGGTGATATTTACAGATGATGATTGAGCGTGGTCATGAGGAGTTTGGATCTTTGCCACAGAAGCTGACGAAGAGGACACTGTTGTTATCTGTGCTGTCTCTCATTGTAGAATTCAGCGTGGTAGTCCATTCCAATCCCCTACTTTACCAGAAACCTTTTTCATTGGCATGACACGTCATTTGTTCAAATGTTAATGTAGAAAATCCAGGGACAGGGGCAGTTCATTCATTTGGCTCTTTTTTTTTTTTTTTTTTTTTTTTGAGATTGAGTCCAGGCTGGAGTGTGGTGGTGCAATCTCAGCTTGCTGCAAACTTTGCTTCTGGGGTTCAAGCAATTTTCCTGCCTCAGCCTCCTGGGTAGCTAGGATTACAGCCGCCCACCACCACACCCAGCTAATTTTTGTGTTTTTAATAGAGACAGGGTTTCACCATGTTGGCCAGGCTGGTCTCAAACTCCTGACCTCAAATAATCCACCCACCTTGGCCTCTCAAAGGCTGGAACTGCAGGCATGAGCCACTGCACCCAGCTAGTTGGCTTCTGGTGTATTAAATGTTCTCTTGGTATCTTGGCATCCCTAAGCATATTACTGACCCTCCCCTGTAGACAGTAATCCCAACTATAAAGTACAGCTAGTGCTCGTCTTACGACCACGACTGGTTCCGACAGACCGGTTGTAACACAATTTGGTCGTTAAGTTGAGTAGGCTATATGCACGCGGAGATGGTAGTGCTGCCGGAAGCTAGTCCGCACTGTCGTACGCCCAGCTGGGCAACGTTTGTGCTGCCAGATGCGGAGCAGTCGTGGCTAGCGATTGTGGTCGTAAAGTCGAATGGTCGTAAGTTGCATAGGTCGTAAGTCGATCAATACCTGTAAGAGGTAAAACTCCATGTAATCTATGAGGTCTGTGGTCAGAGCCTGTGGTTCTAATTGTCCAAGTGAACAGCAGTGTCAAAATTCAATGGAGAGAGAGTTGGATTTTAAAAAGGTAGAAGTTGGATGTGGTGGTGCGCACCTGTAGTTCCCGCTGCTTTGGAGACTGAGGCGGGAGGATTGCTTGAGCCCAGGAGTTTGAGGTTATAGTGAGCTATGATCGTGCCACTGCACTCCAGCCTCTGCAACAGAGGGAGACCCTGTCTCTTAAAAAAAATTAATTTGAAAAAGTAGGGAAAAAGATAAAAATGAGAAGATGGAGACCTCAGTTTACATGGAGTCTGTAAAGGGGTATGTTTAGAAATCTTTCCCGTTGACTCTAATTTTAAATTGTTGAGGTCTAGATGAATATATTAATTCATCATAGAAATGACACCAGGAAGAATCTGGTTCCTTATCAAAAAGGAAAGATGTGTGTCCCCTGTTCAGGCCATCTCGGTGGGGCCCCAGGGAGGGTCTGGCTGCTCTACCTTTTGATGTTTTCATTTTCCTTTGCTTTGTAGTGGCGGTAACCAGGGTATTGTATGTGTCAGAATTGCTGCAAGAAGGATGGTTTGGTTTCTGGCACTGCGGGAAGCCAGAAAAAGGACCAAAATAAAACAAAAGTTTTTAAAAGAAATGGAAAAGAAAATACTCCGCACGTAGCCTGCAAATTCAGCCTGCTTATGCAATTTCTACCTTAGGCTCTGACTCAGTCTTTCTTCTTCAGCCAGCACGGGACAGCCAGAAGATGACATTGAGACTCCAGGTACAGAAGGCAGTGTTGTGATGCCAGGTGCCGAAGATGATGTGGTGACCCTAAGAGCTGGCGAAGACCTCTCTATGGCTGGCTTGACAACTCTGGTCAGTGTCCTGGGAGGAGAGGAATGTTTTCCGTAGGCATGTGATCAAATTGCAAGGTTATGATATATATTGATTTATAGATAAACATGTCTGTATATAAAATCAGCATTTTTACCACCATACCAAGGTATAGTTATGTGGCTCAACAAAAAAGAATAAGTCCTCGCTTAATGCTGTTGATAGGTTCTTGGAAACCTGTGACTTGAAGCAAAATGACTTATAAAGAAACAACATTATTTGAGGACCTGCTGCATGTCATTTTCCTTAAAGTCGCAATTTCCAAGAATCTATCGACAACGTTGAGGACTCACTGTCCTTCCCAATTTCGTCCACTTAGCTGGTGTGTGGATCACAGATGGTTTCAGAGTAGAAGCCAAGGCTTCTCAAATTGGTAAGGAGTCAGGATTTTACATTTCCAATCTGTTACAGCCCAAGTTTCAATACAATGAAAGTTTTCTTGGGTGTTGTGGCCATGTCATTGCTCTAAGGGGTTCTAAATATGTCTTCTCGGTTTCTTTGCCCATTATAGACTGGTAATAAACATGGACTAGACACAGTCCACAGATCACATGATTATAGACTATTTAGCCTGTCAACCAACACATTCTTAACCTGATGAATTTTAATTAACTCTTGTTACATACCTGCCGTAGACAAGACAAGATGCCAAGCTTTGGGAGGGATTGAGGAGGTCAGTGAGCCACGTCCTCCACCCTTGAGGCAATCTATGATTTCTCTGGTAACAGAGCAGAGGTTCCTGCCTGCCTGTCTGACCTGCGCACCAGCATCTTCTTACTTTCTCTATGTCTACCGTCTTGGACTTTCTGACCTTTGAACACACCAAGCTTGTTCCAACTTAGGTTTTTATTTTCTCTGCCTAGAGCACTGCCCAGATCTTTCCATGGTTGACTTTTTCTTACAATTCTCAAGTTTGAAGCCATCTCAAACAGCCTAAAGTAATCTCACCCGCACTTCCATCAGAAGTCACCGGCCGGCCCTGAGGTCTGCGAACTACCCACCAGATTTGGCCCACCCACTGTGTTTGTACATGAAGTTTCATTGGAGCACACCAATGTCCATTCAGTTGAGAATTCTCTGGCTGCTTTCCAACTAGAAGAGTGGAGTTGATTAGTTAGAACAGAGACTGTGTGGCCTTTACAGCTGAAATATTTACTCATCCGGCCCTTTACTGAAAGTTTTCCAGAGGTTAGTCCAGTCTAGTCTAGACAAAGCTAACGTATATTTCCTCCAAAGCACTCAAAACCATGTCAAACTACCTTTCATACTTGTTTACCTGCTAAATGTTCACATTCTGCTACCCCATCCCAGATGCCAGCTTCAAGAGAACAGAGAATTTATATTACTCACATTATAGTCCCAGGGCTTGGAACCATGCTGGGCTCATACGGGGTACTCATTAGCATATGTTTTTTATTGTGGTAAAAAAAAATAACATAAACTTTATCATTGCAACCATTTTGAAGTGTGCAATTTGGTAATGTTAAGTACATTCACATCATTAAACGGATCGCCAGGACTTTTCAGCCTGTAAATCTGAAACTCTACCCATGAAACAATAACTCCCCATCCTTCCCTTCCCCCAGTCCCTGGCAGCCAGTCTTCTACTTTAGAATTTGACTCCTCTAGGTACCTTATGTAAGTGGAATCATATAGAACTTTTCTTTTGTGACTGGTTTATTTCACTTAGCCTAATGTCCTCAAGGTTCATCCGTGCTATAACGTGTGTCAGAATGCTCTTCCTTTTTAAAGCTGAATAATGTTCCGTTACATCAATAGACTGTATTGTTTATCCATTCTTGTGTCTGCAGACATTTGGGTTGCTTCTACTTTTTGGCTCTTGTGAATAATGCTACTGTGAACATGTGTGTACAACTGTCTCTTCAAGATCTAATTGTTTCTGTTCGTTTTCTTGTTTCTACTTGCAGTGTATGCCATCGTGTGTTCCATATTTTGATGCTATCTTAAATCCCTTTCTTTCATAAGGAAGAGTATATATTTTAAGACAATTAGGCTTTGTTTCCTATTTTTCCTCATTCACACCCGCAATAGATGGCAACCCGTGTCATGAGTGTGACCGACCTTGGCCCCGAGGATCTGCCAACTCCAGAAAGCACAGTCCACCCCAAAGAAGAAAGTCCGCGCACCACAACCTCAGACGTGGCAACCAGTCACTCCAGGGGTAAGAAAACCAGTCACCTCCATGGAGGCTGATCTACTTTTGCAGAATCGGCACATTCCAAAGTCTGTGAACAAATGTAATAATCAACAGGGGGCGTGTTGGGATGCAAGAGTGACTTCTGAACCAAGCCTTGTATGATAGGTTCAGAATTGGATTTGAGTTGATGCGGTTGGTTTAGTGGGTTGCTGAACATACCTCTCTACATGAAATAATTACTGATAACACCTGCACGGGGTGAGTTAAGTAGCTACTGATGTTGCATGGCGGACCCCAGGCTGATGGAATGTGACATGGAGAACTTTGTGTGGACACCCAAGGATGCAACACTCAGCCATCGTCTGTAAATCTTAATAGATTTATAGATAGATAAATAGCGAAATCTTGACTTTTCCTCCATCTGCAAACTAGTAAATAGCCACCACCCAGAGGAGTTAAGGACTCGTTATATAAAGAGGTCAAAGAGAAAAACAAAACATTGTTATTTTTAAATAGGTCATTGTATAAAATTATTCAAAAGAAACTCAAAATGACAAATATTCGCACTGTAACTATTAGACTAGGTTTGACTGCAGATAGATGTCCTAAAATAACAGTGTCGTGAACGCAAAGGATGTATTCGCTCATGAACCTTAGCTGGGACTATCGTTGCCTTGTAAAAATCTGGATTTTGCTACCAAAGAAGCCCCAGGAAATAGATGTTGAGACTAATCAGATGTAATCTTGGTTACATCTTCCCAAACTAGAGTATTAATCTCAAAAATGAGTTGATAGACCTCTTCACAGTCTGGAGACCTTGACATTTACTTACTTTTCCATGGCTGTTGTCCAGTAAGTACTCTGCAAGAATACTTAACCACCTTCCATTGAGTTCATGTCTGTTTACATGGTGCAAGAATCTTCTAAACCCATCTGGCCAGGATCTGGGTTGTAGTGGTGACTCACAGTTGGCAGCTACAGCCGTGTGAGTGAAATTCCTTGGAGAAAAGCTTTGGAGGAGTTTTTCGAGTCTTTGCTATTTTTCTATCTAGACCATCATTGATGAGAATGAGGAAAAATCATTGTCAATTTAAGAAATAGAAAGAGATAACTTCCTGTTTCTAGAGATGTCTTGAGAAATTCAGTTGTTTGGGGTTTTAAAAAATGCCTTATTTTATAGTGGATAAGGTGGAAGAGAAAATGAAGTAATCCTCTGAAAACCTCAATGAGTGCTAGCTAACTTGAGAAATGTTATGTAAATTGTTTTGTCTAGATAGGTCTTACATAGAAATGTCACGTCTAAACCAATGGTTTCCCAAACCAGTTGCACATCTGAATACCTAGAAAGCTCTTCTTGGCCAGGCATGGTGGCTCACGCCTATAATCCCAGCACTTGGGGAGGCCAAGGCAGGCGGATTACCTAAGGTCAGGAGTTCAAGACCAGCCTGACCAACATAGTGAAACCCTGTTTCTACTGAAAATACAAAAAAATTAGCTGGGCGTGGTGGCACATGCCTGTAATCCCAGCTACTCTGGAGGCTGAGGCAGGAAAATTTCTTGATCCCAGGAAGCTGAGGTTGCAGTGAGCCTAGATTTTGCACCATTGCACCCCCCCTTGGGCAACAAAAGCGAAACTCCATCTCAAAAAAAGGAAAAAGACCCCTTCTTTATTGTCCCTTTTACGTTTCCAGGATTAATCACCAATCTCGTTTTAAAAACTACAGTACTTTTTAGGATTTTTTAAAAAATGCTTTATTTTTGTATTCCCATGTTTATGGCAGCATTATTCACAATAGCTAAAATATAGAAACAACTCAAGTGGCCATGGAGAGCTGGACAGATAAGCAAAATGTGGTGTATTTGATGGAATATTATTCAGCCTTGAAAAGGAAGAAAATGCAGACACGTAATACGACATGGAAGAACCTTAAGGACATTATTCAAAGTGAAATAAACCAGTAGAAAAGGAATACTGTATGTCACCACTTATATGAGGTCCCTAGAATAGTCAGATTCGTGGAGACATAAAACAGTGTGGTGGTCGCCAGGGGCTGGGGAAACTGTTGAGCGGGTAGAGTTCAGTTTTGCAAGATGTAAAGGGTTCAGGAGGTGGATGATGGTAATGATTGCACAACAATATGAATGTACTTAATACCACTGAACCGTACATTTAAAAATGGTTAATTTAGTACATTTTGTGCTGTATGTGTTCTGCCACAGTGTAGGGGGAAAAAAACCTTATAAAGGGCTTTGAGGCCAGGTGTGGTGGCTCACGCCTGTAACTCCAGCACTTTGGGAGGTCAAGACGGGCAGATCATGAGGTCAGGAGTTCTAGACCAGCCTGGCCAACATGGTGAAACCCCATCTCTACTAAAAATACAAAAATTAGCCGGGTGTGATGGCAGGTGCCTGTGATCTCAGCTACCCAGGAGGCTGAGGCAGGAGAATTGCTTGAACCCGAGAGGCGGAGGTTGCAGTGAGCCAAGACCGTGCCACTGAGCTCCAGCCTGGGCAACAGAGCTCTGTCTCAAAAAAAGGGGGGGCGGGGCACTTTGAGATAAAACCTGAACCTCACTCCAAGCTGTTAAAGAAATGATTAACATTTAAACACCAGAGAAAGCCAAGTTGAGCTAAGCAAAGAAAGAATAATCAATATAAGTGATCATTGGAATACTTTTTAAAGTTTTGGAGGATTGCTCATTTGTAACATGGGTTGACAGCTAATTAGCAGCAGAAAAGTGTGCTGTCCATGTTGAATATTCTATCATACTTCATACCTCTCTTCTATTCCTTTAAAAAAAAATGACCACTTGCCTGTCCCCTGCCCCACCCTGTCACAAAATTACCCCACCCTGTCACAAAATTGCCCACCCTGTTACAAAAATTGTGACTGAGGACACATTCCTACTTAATAGCTCATTATCCCAAGACATTTTCGCATGTGAGCCAAAATGTCATTAGTAGCACTCAGTTTTCAAGGGGTAATTTTATTAGGGCAGCAGATGTTCAGTTCTGCTGCGAAACACCCAAATACGATGATGTGCATGTGTATGACGCATGCTCAGGATCACAGTCAGTGTCATTGGGAGGGGGATGGGAAATATGAGACTAATAAGCTCTGATTTAATAACAAATCCTCCACAAACTTTATTTTCAGGAATACCATTTTCAACCCATGGTGTTTTTGATAATGGTATATGAAGAGCCTGGAATCAGCACCCACAGGGTGGGATGTGCTAAGCAAACGATTGACTTATCTCTGCTGGCAGTTGACTTCTAGCGATGACATTTGCGGAGTTGATTTGATGTCACCTTTGTTCTGGGAAAGCCCAAACCCAGCCGTGTCCCATATGCTGGGGTACCACAGTGGGTATGAGCTCTTACGTGCTCTAAACCCATGGGCTCAGCTCATCTGGGGAGAGCTGGCTTCTGGGACCTGTACCCTGGGGCCACCTTGAGGAGGCACCTTGTGTTGAGGAGAGCCTTGGTCCAAAAGGAATGGTTTTCAAACCCAACCATGAGAAAAAGTAGGCATCTTTTACATGATGGTTGGCTAGTTTTACCATTGATTAGGAAAGCTACTGGCTACCTAGGGTGTTTTGCAAGCTGTGAACTAAGATTTTAGGGCAGGGCTTCACTGATGATTAACTTCTCTCCGATTGCTTTTTAAATCCAGGCATCTTGACTTTTCCTCCATCTGCAAACTAGTAAATAGCCACCACCCAGAGGAGTTAAGGACTCGTTATATAAAGAGGTCAAAGAGAAAAACAAAACATTGTTATTTTTGAATAGGTTATCACATAAAATTGTTCAAAAGAAACTCACAAGGATGAATATTCACACTAACTATTGGACTAGGTTTGATTGCAGATAGAAGCCCTAAAATAACAGTGTCATGAACACAAAGCGTGTATTCGCTCAGGAACCTTAGCCGGGCCTATTGTTGGCCTGTAAAAATCTGGATTTTACTACCAAAGAAGCCCCAGGAAATAGATACTGAGACTAATCAGAGTCTTGGTCACATCTTCCCAATCTAGAGCATTAATCTCAAAATGAGTAATAGACCACTTCACAGTCTGTCCCTTCTCTGTGATCCTGACATTGGACTAAGAATACACAGCTCTGGATTCTTCCGCTACCTTAAACTCTGATACTTTTTTTTTTTTTTTTTTTTTTTTTTTTTTTTTTTTTTTTTTTTTTTTTTTTTTTTTTTTTTTTTTTTTT